CGTTGCAGCCAAAGGTACGCACTTTTCACTGAGAATACACCATCCTTATCACAAATCCATCTCCAATGATCTTGCTTAGAAGAGAAAATTTGTAGACCCTGAAGCATTTCCAACAAGGTATTCACACTCCTTACTTCATGGACAAAAGGTTCTCTTCTCCAATTAACCTGCCACACCCACCTAGATCCCTCCCAAGTTCCATTATGCCCCACCATTGACAACGGATCAAAGGCAAAGAAGTACAAATGAGGAAAGACATCCAACAAGCAAAAAACCACCTATCCACTTATCCTCCCAAAATCGGGTCATAGTGTCATCGCCAATACAACGTTCAATCTTTTCATCCAACCAAAAATTTTCTTGTAGCACCCACACTATATCCTTCCACCACCAAGAAGCCTTCCTATCCACATTTGAGCACTTAGAAAAGGACTCAATGCGCCCATACCTACCATGAAGAACCTTAGCCCACATCATACCTGGAGAGAGCATACACCTCCACACCTATTTCCCTAGTAGTGCTCAATTGGAAAATCTAACATCCTTGATTCCTAGTCCACCCTCATCCTTTGACTTACACACCATTTCCCATTTTACCCAAGGAATCTTTGAGCCATCCTTGACACCTCTCCACAAGAAATCACGTTGGATGGCCACAATTCATGGTGTTTGCTTGAGATGGGGTGTGAATGCGAATAGGTGTGTGGTGGTGAATGTCTATTCTCCTTATCAGTTGGTGGATAAGCGACGGTTGTGGGAAGAGATAATCATGTCTAAGCGTGGTTTTGGGAGTTGTTTATGGTGTATAGTTGGGGATTTCAACACGGTGAGAAGACAAGATGAGAGAAAAAGGGTGATTGGTGAATACGGTGCACGGGATATGGAAGAATTCAATTTGTTTATAAGAGATATGGAGTTGATTGATATACCACTAGTTGGGAAGCGATTTACTTGGTTTAAAAGTGATGATTCTATGATGAGTAGGTTGGATAGGGTGTTGGTCTCAGAAAGTTGGAGTGCTCAATGGGGCGTAGGATATGTGGAGGTTCACACCTACCACAATATTTTTCTATGGCTGGACCCATCACGAGTGACATTGTCCGTTAATTTTCATGTGATATATTTTTATTACCACAAATAAACATAAGAAAATTATCTCAAAACACATGGTGCTGATGCCTCATTAAATATTCCCTAGTTTGAAAAGAAAACCACGTGATTCTCCATTTGCCAGCTACCATCACGATCGACGTCATTCATTGGATATTATCGTCAACTTGTTGTAATATGACAAGAAACAAAATCTCCTGTAAGTCGAATCGACTTTAGAAAACAGGAGAAATAGATCATGCTTCAATATCTTTGATCCAATATTATTAAATGGGTTTCAACATCGCCAACCACTGCATCAAAAGAAATATTTTTGTTAGTCAGGGAAAAAAAGAAGGTTCCAGGCTGCGATGGAAATTAAGGAGAGAAAACGGGGCGAAGAATGCTAAGTTCAAATTTATATAAGTTACAGTTCTCATATATATGGTTGCTGTTATTCTTGAGAGTGTTTTGTTGGTAATCAAATGTGAGATAATTTTTAGGGTTTAGGGTAATCAAACCCCAAACATTCATTCATTACCCAATACTATGAATCGGACATTGTGTCGGTCCATGCAGGGGTCTCCCTCATTGCTTTCGGTCATACGAGCAGAGGAAACAAAAATTCTTTTCCGATGAAAAAGGTTCAACACATCATTAATTATGATAGCTTCGAAGCCTTAAACCTGTTTGGTAATGGTAAAAGCTGATTCAACAAAATTCCCCAAGTAATGAATTAAATAATATAGTAAAATACTTGAGCTCTATTAATTACTTATATATATTTTTTTAAATGTCGTGTTTACCTACATATTAATTACTTATATATAATAATATAATATTTATTATTAAAAATTAATTTTACCTACATTATAAATATAATATATTATATTATTAAAAAGTATAAATATAAATTATAATACCATAAAAAATATGTTATTGGATCTCATTCAAAATTAACACTACAATCATGTATAAATACATGACAAATATAGATCTATATTTGTATATATTATATTTATAATAATATTTTTTTTATGTTATTGTTAATAATATTTCTTGTATTGCAGTATATAAATCCAATTTTTATTTTTATTGCAGTATAGAAATATATCAATTCGAATTTGATCAATGTCCTATTATATCTTAATTGATATATTTTAGTAACTTATTATTATTATTATTATTACTATTATTATTATTATTATTATTATTATTATTATTATTATTATTATCTCTAAGGTATAAGTGTTATGAGATACATGGGGAAGTATTGTACTTGTATATAAGAGACTTGCGTTACATTTACTCAGGTTTAATTTGATAATTATTAGAAAGAGTATCAAGAAGTTGTAGCAATAATTTCAAAAAAATTAAGTTTAAAGTAAATAATAAAGTTGTAATTTTATGAATTTTTATTTATAAAGAAAAATTGTTGTGATTTGATAAAAATAATGAAGTTGGGATTTGATTATACCGAGCAATTGAATATTAGATTCTAATTTGTGTTAATCCAACGATTAATAAAATTATTTAAACTCTTAAATGTAAAAATTAAAATCCTTTTTATCAAAATCTCATTTCCTTGCAAAAGTTAATCAATCAATTGTATTATGATTTAAGGTTATAAATTAACGGTGATTTGAAAGTGTTTTTTAATATCGTAACATTCAATTATAAGAAATCATATAATGAGTGATCAAATAAAAAAAATATTAAGATAAAGAAGTACAAACAAATAATTAAATTTAAACATTAATAAAAAAAATTAGGAAAATACAAGTTAATTATATTAAACCTTAAAATGATTGTTAAGGAATTAAAATTAATGACTTTAAATTTTAGAGTGAAACTATTAAAGAAAAATATTTTATAAAAATCAAAATAAAAATTATAAATTTTATAAACATAAAAAATAATGATTTAAAATTTTAAAAGATAAAAAATAAAGATTTTTTTACAAAACCGATATCAAAATTTATTCATTTGATATATTAAAAATATATTTAAGCTAATTGGTAAATAATTATTGCTAAAATTATTTACTAGTTTTCCCTCAAATAATTTGTTTTTGTCAGCAATGCAATAGTGCTTACTCGTCACCGCAATAACATATATTCGTTCGACCACACAAAATGTTTACCCTTATTAGGAGAACTAATAATTTAATAAATAGAAATAATTCTGCATATATGAAATAGTTTATGTATATATACTAAGAACTTATGCGTGGTTATAATACATGGTTCATGGTTGAATCTTGAATTTGCTTAGTTTTGAATATTTCAAAAAAATGGATGAAACAAAAGCTTATCCTTTATTTAGTTAACAAAAACAAGCCACACACTTCCTTAAAAAAAATGTAGACATCTTTAAAAGAGAAGAATAAATAAATATTATGAATCATATGATATGCAAACAAAAACAAATAAAAATAAATGTATAGAAGTTGAAATATATATAAAAAAAGATATGACATATTATATGCAGATGAAAAGTACGGTATTGGACATTTTTTTTTGGATTATTCTTCATTTGTATCCACGTGAATTAGTGGAATTGAAGAGTTATGATGCGATATTTGATATTAAAAATATTATAAAAAAAACACACAGTAGTATTAAAAATATGCTCAAGTGTTAAAAAGATCAAGAGTCGACGTGGAAGTAATGTATTGGCGCGTAATCCCCACGTGTGATGAAAGAACGTTATGATACAAAAAAAGTGGTCCCCAACAATGTCCATGCACACTCTGTCCACGTCCCCGCAATTAGAAATTCCATTTTTAATTGGAATTTTGAAGATTTTTTACTTTTATTTTTTTATAACATCAACATGGAACTTTGAAGATTTAAGCGACATAAAAGAATTTCACTTTATGCCTTTTCTCTCACACGCGCGCACCATTTTAAAAGCAAAAACCAAATGGTGCCATTGGTAGTCTCCATAATCCAACAAGATGGAAGCACCTTCTTCTCCCTCATCGTTTTCTCCTTCAATCTCCCACTTACTTTATCTTCTCCTTCTTTACCTATAAACACTCTCTCACTCATTTCTTCAAACTAAGTATATATTATTATATATTTATTTTCCCTTGTGTGATGGGGGCTAGTGTTTCTTCAACTAATATATTAGAAAATGAAGAAGGGTCTATTTGTTCATCATCAAGACCTGGTCTTGGTGATATCCCTGAGAGTTGCATCTCCTCCTTGTTCATGAATCTTGATCCACCAGATATATGCAAATTGGCCACCGTCAATAGGGCCTTTCACCGAGCTTCCTCAGCTGATTTTCTCTGGGAATCCAAGTTGCCACCAAGTTACAAGTTTCTTGCTAAAAAAGTTATTGGTGAAGAAAATATTGCTACTATGACTAAGAAAGAGATTTATGCCAAACTTTGCCTACCCAATCGTTTTGATGGTGCCACCAAAGTAAGTTGATTCATTAATTATCTACTCCATCTTAATTAATTAATAATCTTATGATGTATAGATCGATCTGTTATTATTTTTTGAGTTTTCCTTAGTTAAATTTTTTTTTTATTTGTTCCATTAATTGTTGGGGTTGTTGTAGGAAGTTTGGTTGGACAAATGTAGTGGACAAGTTTGTTTGTTCATGTCATCCAAGTCCTTGAAGATAACAGGAATAGAGGACAGGAGATACTGGAACTATATTCCAACCGAAGAATCCAGGTGAGGGATGGATAGATATTTTAATTTGATGTTTCTTTGACTTTTACATTTGTATCTTCTTTCATTTTCCCCCCCTCCTCTCTCTCTCTTCCGTTGGATCTTGTTTTTATGTTGAAGCTGATTGAGGTCCAGGGTTTTGAAATGTTTCTGGTCAAATCGTGTGTCCTCACTCCTGCACGTACCATTTCAATTGTCTGCTTTTCCCTAGACTTGCTTGTGTTTACAGAAAATTAATTATTAGCTCGTTGAAAAGTATTTGTTTCCAGATTTTTCTGGTTTTTTATTTGTAAAAATTTTATTAAAACATTTGTTTCTTATATAGGAGGTTGAAAATTGTTTAATAGATATGTTATTAGAGAAATAAATACAAAATATTTAAGTATTTATCATATTAAAAATATAAAATTATATATATATATATATATATATATGATATAAGAATTGATTCGTTTACTCTAGAAGTAAGTCTAACTCATGTTCTACATCAAATTTCAACGATTTAACTGTTGAATTTAAAGTTCTTAATGCATACATTAAGTTTGCAAATTTTTAAAAAATTTGAAAATCATTTAATACTTTATTTCATTAATTCAAATTAACGGATAATCATAAAATTATTTTATACATTGATTTGAATTAATGAAACGAAGTATCAAATAATTTTTAATTTTTTTAAAAAATTTACAGATTTGATCTATACATTAAGAAATTTAAATTCAAAGATTGGATTGTTAAAATTTGATGTACAACATGAGTTGTTGAATGAAATAAGTTTATGTAGACTTGCTTATAAAATACACTAATCTCTTCTCTATGTATATATAAAAGATGAAAAGAATTGTATTAAAGAGTTTGAGTAAATAACTCATTGATAAGACTTTTTTTTTATTAAAGAGGAGAAAACTTATCATAAGATGTAAAGTCGTTTTTGAGCAAATAATAAAAAAAAGAATATATCGAAGAATATATCACATTACAGGAAATTCTTAATTAAAACAATTCTTTAAGACAGAAAAACTATTTATCAGTAACTTCTACGAAACAAATGGAAGACATTTTCAAGATTTGGGTACGACACAATATCAAATGAAAAGAACAATATATTTTAAAAATAGCAGAAGTTTTTAAATAGTTCAATAAGTCTAGGTAATACGAATCACTTAAAATCTATAACAATGTCAACTCATTTTCAAAAGAAAAATTCCCTGAAAAAATTCTACTTTTGTTTAATATTTACCGAAGGAAGGTGCAATTTGACATATATATTACAATTTTAAATCCAAACGCGTTCAATGTATAAAATCATCATTAAATTATTTGATGAAAAAAAAAACTCCAAATTAATCATTATTTATAATGTAAAAGGTTTTGAAGACATTTAGCCAAAATAAAAATGAAAGAAGAAACCGAAAACGCTTGTCGAGTTGAACAACGTTTGGACTTTGGAGGCGCCCACACTGTCAAATAAATTACCCATACTAAAAAATTCCCATTATTATACACTAAAACAAAGAGGCTTTTGACCATATTAGAAAAATATTTACAAATAACACATAAATGTTATTATTATTTTTTTAAATATTATCAAATGTATATAGTGAATATTATTGAAGATTTTTAATAACATTTTTATATAATTAGGTAATATTTTTTAAATATTATTAAAGTGATATTTTTGTTACATTTTAATAATGTTATTAAGTTTTATTTAATTTTATAAAATAATAATTAATTTTAATATAGATATTATTTCAATTATACTTTATGACTTCTAGTTTCTTACAAATTTTTTAAGGTGGAAAATATTTTTAATTAGTCATCATTAAATTTATATCACATCAAAATTCATTTATCTTAATTATAACTTTATAATTATACATATTCTTTATTTACTGCATGTGAGACTTTAATTTTAGAAAACAATTTGAAATTGAAGAAGTGTGCTATTTATGTGACATTTTTTTTTCTTGATGTAAGACTTTAACTTTAAAACCAATAATAAAAATTAATAGAGATAAAAAAATATTATTCTATCTGTAATAATATTTAAAAAAAATGTTGCAAAATAATCTATTTACTCAATCTATAATAATATTTTAATAAATATAAAAAGATAAATATTGTTAAATAAGCAAAATGTAGTAGTGTTAGTTGTACAAATGATAAATTAGGACGAAAGCTTGTACCTTATGTTTAATTTAAGCTAGGAATTTCTTAAAGAGTGGACATTGATTTTCAAAGCTGATGAGAAATGCCATTGGCTTCGCCGTATTCTGGCAGATTATTCTTTCTTTCTCAACCGTTAATATATAGGTAACTAAAGAAAAGAAACAACAGTGCAAGCAATCTGCCTAAGAAAAATACTATCCAAATTGCTGAAAAGGACTTGTGTTTAGGGGAAAGTGATGTTAAATTATATCTATTGTGTCTAAAGCAGAGAAGCAAGGTCGTATTCTATTTGTCATTAGTTGCATTGCTTACAACAAAAGCTTTATTTTGAACATTTATTTATTTATTGCCTGTAGTTGCTTTCCGTCATTGATTAATACTAAAGCTTGGGATATATGCATGCTTTTATCATTATGCGCATTTTTCATGACATAAGAACCTCTCCCAAAGTTGTAATATGCGATTCATAAAATGGTTATTCCTACCTTTATTGGGATCTATTCAATTTATTTGTTGAAAGGTATAAAAAATACCATATTTTGTCACCTATTCAAAAATATCTTTGTAAAGATACTCAATCTAACATGTGATCTTTTTAACTCCGATCCAACTCATAATTTCATAGCTTTTACGCGTCATTTTGATTCTGTTGTGATAAACATTGGAATATTTGTTTCGATCTTAAGAATGAATGAACATATAAATAAAGTAAAAAATAATAATTACTTCCATACATTATTCTCACAAATTTATGTACAAAGAGTTGCCACGTCTAATTCTAAAAGCTTATTAACAATTTTATCAAAGATAAAAACTATGATTGAGTTAATAAATTTTATAAATCTTTGTTCATATAGTGGAAATTATATTAAAATTATGAATATGGTAATTACACCTGCAGGTTCAATAGTGTTGCATATCTTCAACAAATGTGGTGGGTTGAAGTGGTGGGGGAGCTAGAGTTTGAATTCCCTGTGGGGAGATACAGCTTAGTTTTCAGACTCCAATTGGGCAAGGCCTCCAAGAGATTGGGCCGGCGCGTGTGCAACGCTGATCAAGTCCATGGCTGGGACATCAAGCCCGTCCGATTCCAACTCTCCACATCAGACGGCCAGCGTTCGCTCTCAGAGTGTTACTTGAGTAGGCCTGGGGAGTGGGTCTACTACCATGTAGGAGATTTCGTGATTGAAAAGCCCAATGAGCTTATAAACATCAAGTTTTCCTTGGCCCAAATTGATTGCACTCACACCAAGGGTGGCCTCTGCGTAGATAGTGCCATAATTTGCCCAAAGGAGTTTAGAGAAAGACTCAAACAACGTTAGCTAATTCTTTCACTTTGCACAGTTTAATTATAAGAAGAGAAAAAAGAAAAAGGAATTGTTTTTTTTTTTTTTTTTTAACACAAGTTTGGTATTATTAGAAAGTACTCAAGTAGCCCTCGTTTTTAGGTGGGTTTGAGTGTTCATTTGCAAATTACGTGTAGTGTAGGAGTGACCAGTGTGAAATAAAAGTGCTAACTCACGCAGTTATAGTCTATAGAGATTAGAGAGTTCCTTGCTTTTGTTATGATGCTTTTGTTGTAATTAGAATGCATTAATAAAATAAATATTTTTTATACCGTGATTCAATTATAGATGGCTATATATGATAAAAGTATTAACTTTTAATAATTATTTAAAAAATGTATTTAGTATAATTTGTAATTGATTGATTGTGTAAATTTTACATTAATCTTACTAATAATATCCCAATTTATCAATTATTGGGCCGCTAGTTTATATATACAGTCCATTTATCAATTATTTCCTGTTTGAACTACTAATTCTACGTACACCGTGTAGACACAAAATGTAATCATGAGATCTGAATTCTGATTAGATAAACAAAACACTTTTAAAAAGGTCATCCAAATTATGTGATTGAATAATTGGGCCGCTAGAAAGCAATTTGGGGAGGTTATGTTTTCTTTTCAAACCTTTGTATACGATGTTGATCAACATGCTGGAATGGAAGATCCCCCGAGTTCAACCAAGCTGAAAAGTTGTTGGCAAGAAGATTGAAGAGGTGGAGTCATTTCATATAAACTTCTCCAAGCCATATACCAAATTCTGCAAGGATTATTAAGAGGCAATGAAAAAAAATTGAAGCAGAATGACATAAAAAGACTAATATGAGACTTGACGTGATTGGCTACCTTGAGGCGCACTACTTTTCTAATGGCTAATAGCAAGCCTGGCATGAGACATTGTACATCTGTGATATCATGCTTGATAGAGTAAACCTGCAACCATTGACTTGATGATGAAAATCAATGCTTCCCAGCAAAGATAGAACCAGATTAGTTCACAGGACTTACCTCTCCTGGACCTGAGAAATGAACTGTTGTGCTGGAAGGAAGTCCTGGAAGGACCATGCTGTGTACACGAATTCCATCTCCTAGGACTTGACCCCTTGCCTAGTGTCACAAATAAATGTACCCAGTTAGAGATATATATCTCACTAGCCATTTAAAGGCTAAACATAGTTGTTTTTGTCCTTACCAAGACATCTGTCGAAGGATCTTCTCTGTTATAGATTTGACCCAGGTTGGAGAGATTGTTGGCAATTTGGTTTGCATCTGCTGATGGAAGCTCCTGTTCACTAAGGTCAATTCAGTTTACTGATATTTCACACGCGTCCATTTGGATCAACATTTCACCTTGTTATCTTAATGTTCCTTTTAACTGTTAATAATGTGATATCTAAAACAGTGAAGGCAGATAAAAATGAGAGGTGGGAATCAATTCAGATATAATAAATCTCGGTGTATTATTGTACTTTGCTTTTTCATAAATTTTCCCCTAGAACTTCTGCTCCTACCAAGCATATATCTCCTTTTTATTATTATTTTGGTTGATGGAGCATGCATCCTTAAATATGATTACAATAGTTCTTAAATAGAAGTCAAATGTATTTTAACACATTATTTTATATACCTGCGATTGAAAAACGTAAAGTGAAATACTTGCACTCTCTTGAGACTTCTTTTTTGTGGATTGCCTTGTCTTGGCCCTCTTAGTTTCCCTTTTATATCTTAGTGATGATAATTACATCAATCATGTCAACTAGGTTGCCTAAACATAAAAACATTGATAAACAATTAACATAAAAAGAATTCTCACATTTGCGTTAGCCCTGGATTCCACAATTTCGACGTTGCTGTAATGGAAAGAAGCTGAAATCGCGGCTTGTTGCAATAATATTGATCCTATGGAAAGGGTTGGTGCAACCAAGACACCCTGACATCAAAGTTAATCATATGCCATAAAAGAACAGATGGCTTAGTACTAGCAAGTTTAGACTTTAGACTAATTAAAGTTACCACATTTGCTATTCAAATATGGACAGTGAAATAACTAAACAGACCAAATAATAGAAAAGAGAACAGAAATAATTTAAAGTAAACATTGTATTTTTCTTATAAGTCTCACCCCGTGCTCACCATGCTGGCCTTCTCGCAGAATGCAGATAATGCAGCTACTGTGTCTAATTTGATTCGGGGCACGTAAACTACACTTTTCATGCCAAATGCTGTTGCCTAATGAAGAGAATAAGTCGATGTTCAACACGTGGCACATGTGAAATTAGTATCAAAATACAAAGTCTAACATCACAACTGTAACTCCGGAGGTTAGTTAATGAACAGAAGATACACAGTTTTCTGAACACAAATAATTTATAATTGCCGATGTTAAACTTCTAGCATTGCTCTTAGTCTTACCCAAGAACCGTTTAGTTAACAATTTACAAAAATAATGCAAACATATTTGTCCATCTAATGAAGTTTCTAGCTAGCCAGAAATCAAACCTGTTTTACGTTGTCATATACTGAGGAAGGGTCAGTGAAATCAACTACAACTCCTGTTGCTTTGGACTGCAAATTGCCATTCAAAACTTAATTCAAATAAAGACAGAACAGATTAAAGAAGGAAAAAAAAAGTACCAAGTATGTTGTTGCTTTGTATTACCTGAGATATAGAGCCCAAAATCATAGTAAGGTCATTTATTATGGGTATTTCAAGGGGCTCTTCCAAGCCACACACCTAGAAGAATTGAAAACAATCTTAAAAAAATATTTAAAAACAGTCTGAAGAAGTAAGTTGGTCTGGCCAATGACAGTATAACACCAAAGACAAAAAAAGAAAAACCTTTCCAATATCTTCCCCAATATGGCCATTATCCACAGCTCCCGCTACTTCCATTCCTCTGGCCTTAGTCACTGCCATCACTGCTGCTCTTCCAATTTCCTTGGTTGCTCCATTAATCACAACCTGTTCCACAAAGGGTATATTGCAATGGAAGCACTTGGTGGAATTAAAGAGTTGAACTTTGAAAATGCATTTAATTTCAGGCTTAGACCTTAATATTGCTTTGTGTAGGCTGCGCTGAGCAAGAAATGAAACGTTTGCTCCTGCTTTTGGCATTCTGAGAATTGAACAAGTTGGTGGAGTGAAACTGGCAGCTTAAGGCAGCCATAATAGCTCCTCAAGAGGGAATCCTCTCAGCCCAAAAGAAGATAAGAGTATATATATTTGGTGACCATTTAGTAAGAGCATGGTAATGCTTAGATAGATAAGGTGTTTGGGTTCTTGATAGTTGATGGTGCTCAATTCAATCATGGACCACTATTTCTTTCTTCTTCTTTTTTACAAGGATAAAAGGAAAAAAACTGTAATAACATCTTAAAAATGACACTTTTTTAATTAATATTTTAATATATAATACACAGATAATTTTAATATTTTTCTATCTCAAAAATAACATTTTTTTAATTAGTATTTTGGTATATATAATACACATAATAATTACACTGTATTAATTTGGATCATGCTAAAATATTAATGCAAGTCTTTAAAAATTGAAAGTATTCTTATTTGATCTATTCTTATTATGTGTCCTTATTATTTATATATTTAATTATTCTATTATTAATAATCAAAGAGGGTAGAATGTTTTTCTCCGTTGTAATTTCTCCTTATTCTTGTTTTTTTTTAATTTGGTGACAAAGTATTAACTATTTTATGTTTGGTCATTTCCAGATCATGAATAAACTTAACGGCGTGATTGGTAGGGAATTTAAATAGAGACTTTTTAAAAAAATATATTTTAAGTGCTTTGAAATGAAATGTTTAGATTGAATAGAGAATTTATAAAAATTTAAAATCTAAATATTTACGAAAATTTTTAAAATAATAGAATTTCAAATTTTAATTTTTTTTATATATGTTTTTCTCTCTTACCCCACATATATATTTTCTTTCTCATGTTTTCTTTTGTTTCTTTTTTTTTTCTTCTTCCATATCTTATACTCTATTTTCTATCTCCATCCCCTCTCTCCCTTTTATGTCTCTCTCTCTTTGTCTCCCAATTTCTTTTCTTTCTTCTCTCTCTAATTTTTATCTATTTTATTTCTTCTATCTCTCTCTTCTCTCTTCTCTCTTCTCTCTCTCTCTTATTTCTCTTTTTCTCTTCATCTCTCCCTCTTTCTATTTTGTTTTTTCTCCTTTTTTCTTTTTTGTTTTTTCTCCTACCTTTTTTACTTCTCTTTCAAAGTTAACATAAAAAATATCAATAAATTTTTAATTATTAAATATTTAAAAATATTTTTTTATGAAATATTATTTAATATTAATTTTAAAAACTATTTAACATTTAAAAAATTGGTCAATATTTATTTTTATAAAATTAAATCTTTTTTTGACTATAA